ATAATAATAATATGCTGATTTGCTGCTTAAGAAACATTTCTTACTGTTATCAATGTTAAAAACAGTCGCTTCATATTTGCTGCTACATATTTCTGTGATGCTTCTTTTTCAGAAATCTCTGATGAATAGAAAGTTCAAAAGAACAGCGTTTATTTGAAATGTACTTTTTTGTAATATTATTTAAATCTTTAATGTCAATTAAAAATGAAAATAAAAATATAAATTTCTTAAAAAAAAATACAAAAATCATAATGACTCCAAACCTTTGAACGGTGTAGAATATAATGTTTATTAATGTATAAAATTTAATCATTTTTGAATTGTTCTTAACTGTTAATTATGTTTTATTTAAATCTCTTTTGCACAAAGTATTGGTCTGGTTTATTGCATTTTCTGTAATCAACACAATATGTTGACTATAGAAAATGTCAATCCATCAAAATTATATAAAAAAAAAAAAGTAATAATAAAAATAATAGTAAAAACATGTTTATTTAACCCTTAAATGCATGAATTTCGCCAATCAATATTACATATTCGGGTCTTTAGCGACCCGGACCAATATATACAGCACGGATGGATCTCTAACTGCTGCAATGGCAAAAAACTCTTGATATTTTAAGAACAATTACAGAAGAATAAAATAAAGCATATTTCGTTACCTTTTGAAACTTAAAAGGGTTCAGTTTGAGCAGATGATTTAACCATCGCTGTCATCGTCAGAGCGCACTTCCACAGTACATTCAGCATCTGCCTCATATTCACGATCTCAACCATATTCTCAAAACTATCGTTTTCAATGACTTCATATTCAATATTTTGATCACTAGCAGCTTATTCACCACATCCAGCATCAAATGGCAGTGACATTTATATTTCGTTGCGTATAGTAATTGCTCTGCAGTAAAGCCATTCAAATCAGTTAAATTTTTGCTGATGATATTCATTTGTTTTATGCCTGCGGTAATTATGAGTGAAACGTCACGTCATCATTGTGTATCAAACAGTGCCACCTTGAGGAAAGAAGATGCATTGCACATATTGAGTCATCAGATATGTAAATATAGTTGCGCAGGAAAAAATACTTACACATTTACATACTTCGGATCTCTACACTTTTTACAAAAAATTAATCAGAAAACAGGCATTCTTTTATATTTTACAAATTTTCTTGTTATATTGTTTATAATGAATAGATTGAGGAATACTAAGAAAGTTGATGTCTAACTTAAAAAAATGAAGGAGGGAGAGGGTAGAGAATGACGTCCTGGGTCGCTAAAGACCAGAGGTATGCATTTAAGGGTTAAATCGGCTTCTTTTTTTTTTTTTTCAATAAACAACTATATGTGACCCTGGAGCACAAAAGCAGTCTTAAGTCGCTGGGGTATATTTGTAGCAATAGCCAACAATACATTGTATGGGTCAAAATTATAGATTTTTCTTTTATGCCAAAAATCATTAGGATTTTAAGTAAAGATCATGTTCCATGAAGATATTTTGTAAATTTCCTACCGTAAATATATCAAAACTTAATTTTTGATTAGTAATATGCATTGCTAAGAACTTCATTTGGACAACTTTAAAGATGATTTTCTCAATATTTGGATTTTTTTGCACCCTCAGATTCCAGATTTTCAAATAGTTGTATCTCAGCCAAATATTGTCCTATCATAACAAACCATACATCAATGGAAAGCTTATTTATTTCAGCTTTTCATGTATAAATCTCAGTTTCAAAAAATGTACCCTTATGACTGGTTTTGTGGTCCAGGGTCACATATATTTACCAAAAAATATCAGTATAATTAAAGTAATTTGTTTTTGATAATATTTTTAAATGTTTATTCATGTTTTTAAAGGCCAGTTCACACCGCACAGACACGCGCCAACAAAAAAGTTGGCCGTTGAATTTAGAATTTTATGAAAAATAACTGTCATGTTCACACAGACACCAACAAGCGCTGACTGAACATGTTCAAACAAACCCGACCAACAGCAGCAGACGCCGACAGGAGTAACACACTGATCCAACAAACATGTTTGTTTGTGTGGTGTGAACTGATTCAATTTATTCAAATCATGTTTTCAATAAACGGCAATAAATGCATTCAAATAATTTGTTTTTAATAAGTTTAGACAGTGTTGGGAAGGTTACTTTGGAAATGTAATAGGTTACAGATTACAGGTTACCCTATTTAAAATGTAACTATTTCAATTTCTTGATTTACTTCTTGATTACTTTTCTAAATTCCTAGTGAATGTTTTCAACTGTTAATCATTTCGAAACATTTAAACCTGACAGGGTTATCTTTACAGTAGCACTAAACACTGATTACTGTCAGACTTTCAGAGTCCTTCATCACTTGATTTAAGATAATAATTGTTTCATTTTAAAGCACAGCCACCAAAAAAATCTGACTTTAGCACTACTTTTTACTTTGAGATCGTTCTGAGGTTAATTACAGATTTAAAATCATAAGATATAGTTTAATAGCTGTGATACTGTTTTTGAAATCAAATCTTTGCTTATTTATGACTGGAAACACTGGAGTTTAACAATGCTTTGGAAAAAAACAGATAATCTTAAAAAAAATAAAGCATATACATAAATACAAATAGGAAATGAAACAGTTATCGAATGAGCATGTGTCCTAAACTCCTGAAACATTGGTGTCTCATATTTTAGAGCAGTCAGTGCAATTTGGGAAAGAAATCAATTAAATCTGTATGTGTGTGAAATATTCCGATGTAACCTCCTTTGTAATCGTTAACATTTTCATAAGTAACTGTAATTTAATTACACATTTGTACTCAGTAACTGTAACAGATTACAGTTACATTTATTTTGTAATTAAATTACGTAATTACGTTACTTGTAACTAGGTACTCCCCAACACTGAGTATATAATATATAATTTAAACACATTTTCATCAGTTCCATTCAGATAAAATAAAATAGCAGAAGATCTTAACGTTAAATGCCAAACTTAACACAAGATGAAGGTGCTAGCTAACATGGCATTGATAATTATAATTTTATTAATAATTAATGAATTTTATTATAAATAAACATTAATAATTACTCAACATTAACTTGAAATATTGAGTTAAAACCATAGACTGTATAAAAGCATGGACGTAGTGTCCGTGACGTCACCCGTAGGTTTCAGAAGAGCGTTTTTGAAGCTCAAAAGTGGGCGGAGCCGGCCATCGCCATCTTGGCAAAGCGTCACCGCGCGTCACTCCCGGATAATCGAAAATGGGCAAAGAGGCGGGAGCTGGTTGCTGAAACCACGCCCACCTAGCTCGACGATGGTGACAGCAGCGGCAATCCACCTGTCACTCAAGTGGCCACGCCCTTAATTATGCAGAACTTTAAGGCCTAATATAATTTAAACGGATGAGTTATAAAAAAAATCACCCCCCTCACAGTTGTCATGAAGGGCAAAATTAGCTATATAGACCAAAATAATTTTTTGAACCAGGCTGTAAACATGTTTTTTTCTGCTGTAAAGTTGGGCATTTTAACATGGGGAGTCTATGGGACTGACTCCCTTTTGCAGCCAGCCTCTAGCGGCCAGTTGATGAATTACAGTTTAAGTCACTTCCGTGTTGGCTTCACGAGAGAGAGCGGGAGGTTGCCGCTTGGTTAAAACACATAAAAACACAAACCAACACACCGTCACCCATGAAATGTTATCTCATTTTGTCTGGAATTTATTTCTCATGGTTTTTACAACCATATGCTGCACGATGTTCTGTCATTTTTGAAAATCCATTGGTTTGTTGTTGTGAGTAATGAGTCCAAGGTGGCAGAAGCATTGATGTGTCTAGAGCCGTAAGCCACTACTAAATAATTATTAAATGAATAATATTAAACCTAACTAATATAAATATATTTATGCTACTATATCTTCCTCTTTCTCCAGGTCTTTTCTGATGAGTTTCATTCCCACCCTGCTTTTAATTGGCTTCTTGCTTTTAACTCTGCGACGTGGGCCAATGGGAGGAGGGATGGGCGGAGGAAGGGGCGGGCCCTTCAGCATGAGCGAATCAACCGCCAAGATGATGAAGGACAATATAGACATCAAGTTCAAGGATGTGGCTGGATGCGAAGAAGCCAAGGTGGAGATCATGGAGTTTGTCAATTTCCTAAAGAGCCCACGACAATACCAGGATTTGGGTACTAAGATCCCTAAGGTACGACCTTCCAGAAGGAAAACAAGTGAAGATTATTGGCAGAACGTCAGTATTAATTAATGTTCTGTGTTTCTTCAGGGTGCTGTGCTGTCAGGTCCTCCGGGAACAGGTAAAACACTGCTCGCTAAAGCTACTGCCGGAGAGGCAAACGTTCCCTTCATTACAGTCAACGGTTCAGAGTTTCTGGAGATGTTTGTTGGAGTTTGTCCAGCCAGAGTAAGTTTGAGCAGTGAATTGTTGATTTCCAGTGATTGTAAATTAAGTATTTTTGACCTGTAATTAACTTTTTTTTTTCGTTTCTGTATTAGGTGAGAGACATGTTTGCTATGGCAAGGAAGAATGCCCCATGCATCCTCTTTATTGATGAGATTGATGCTGTGGGGAGGAAAAGGGGTGGAGGGAATTTCGGTGGGCAGAGTGAACAGGAAAACACACTTAATCAGCTATTGGTGGAAATGGACGGTAAGCGGTCCGAGGTTTGATTAAGAGGTCATAGGAGAGATTAAAATGGAACTTCATGGAACTTATGGAAAACTCTCGTAGTTTAATTGGTGTACATGATTTCTTGTATTCAAGCTGAAAAATCCTTTGAAGATGCCAAATCAACATTATAAATATTTTTGTTTTTACAGGTTTCAATACAAGTACAAATGTTGTAGTTCTGGCTGGTACGAACAGGCCGGATGTCTTTGACCCTGCATTGATGCGACCAGGGAGGTTTGACAGACAGATTTACTTGGGTAAGAACTTTGCCCTTCAATTCAGTGCCACAGAATGTATATAATATTTAGTGAACAAGCGATATATTACATCAGGGGTCTTCAACTAAAACTGCTTGAGGTCCAGTAATGAACTTTTTAAGACCTGCACAAATAAAATTAAAATTAATGTAAAAAGCATGATTTAGAGTTCAGATACAGGTTTTCACAAAATTATAAACTTCACATTTCAGCCTTTAAACCTTTTTTTTTTCAAAAGTATCAATTATTTTATTAATTAAATAACAGAAATATATTTTACCGTCATAATTGTTTACATTTTTATAATACATTATCATCTTGTCAATCCACCAGTTCACATTTACAACTCTGCGTGTTTGCTGCTTAAAAACATGGGTTGATTTGTCTTTGACAAGAACAGCAAACAGGCTGATTGAAAATGCAAATTCATTCTCTTCCAGCAGGTGGCGCTTTCGGAACGGCAGAAATATAGCATTTCCCCGATAACGGCAGTACACAAAGCAGCGCAGCATATTTATTCTATGAAATCATAGCCTTTTGAAGTTCAGTCACAATTCCTGTCTTTCCGTCCCCAAATGTAAGACCTCCTGAAATCATAATTAAGACTTTCTTGTAACATTTAAGACTGTTTAAGGACCCGTCAACTTTCCTAATTTTTAAGAATGACATTTTTTTTTCACTCACTAAGTTTAATTTGTCTGTGTGCTGCTCTCTGCTCTCTTCACTGCACACACAATTGCACCCAAACATCTTCTGAGCTGACCTTGATGTGCTTGTTATCAATTTGATTTTATTAGAAATTAGCGTTTGTCATTTATTTATTTATTTCATTGTCAAAAGCCTTCACGGTCCGGATTTGGACCGGAGTCCGCCAGTTGGCGACCCCAGTATTACATCATTTGATCCTTGGTAAAATTTTCTGTTTAGCCAGTAAGTATCAGAAGTGTGTCTTTTTTATTTTGACAGCACTAGGACTTTTATTTTGACATGCACTGAGAATATCAGCACCTGAATGCCGACAAACAGGAGCTCCCATTCTCAGTCTTTAATAGTTTACTGTCTTTAACAGTTCTGTCTAATAAATTGTCAAACTTAGACGTATAAGAAATAGTATTATAGTCATTGAATTTCTATTATTATTAGTACTAGTAAGGTAAACATAATAATACTTTATCATATACTGTCAGTTTTCAGCAAATTCACATTTATATCATGAAAACAGGTCTTTGAATATCTAATAAATATTTAATTTCACCTGATCTTTATAAAGAGATTACATTCCAGAGTGCACTGTCGGTTACTGTTTTTTTATTTTTATTATTAATTTCAATATTTAACTATTTCTTTCTTTGTTAAAAAAAATACTGTATTATAATCAAGATGTTGCTATATAAAGGATAAGTCTGTTTATTTCTTAAGTTCTTAAGTTTAAAATATTTTAGTTCAAGTGACATTTCTTTCATATTTAATTTGAATTGTTTTTTTTATTTCTTATTTGGTAAATATATTATGAAAATTAATTGCAGCAAGTGTTATTTGTCTTTCAAACTGAGTTGACCACCAATAATATTAATGTGTAGTGGGCTTAGGACAGATATTTTCTACTATCTAAGGTTTGTACTCTGTCAATCCTTCAGGACCTCCTGATATTAAGGGTCGAGCATCCATATTCAAAGTGCATCTCCGACCACTCAAACTGGACCCAAATCTGGGCCGTGATGCCATTGCAAGGAGGATGGCAGGTGCTACACCTGGGTTCACTGGTGAGTGAGCATTGATTTAGTTAGACACTCCTTTTCCTTTTGAACAGAATAAATGTGCAAGCCATAGCAGAAAAATTATACGTTGTATGATAATTATATATTTGAAATTCATGTGTGAGCGTAGGCTTATGTAGCTGATATGATTATTAAGTAATCATAAGCGCAGCCATAATAATGTTGTGTTATTGTTATATAAAGACCCTAATTTTTCTCTCCTCCAGGTGCTGATATTGCAAATGTCTGTAATGAAGCAGCTCTCATTGCTGCTAGCCATCTGAATGAATTCATCAATGTTAAGCACTTTGAGCAGGCCATCGACAGAGTCATCGGAGGTAAACGGAAGCGCTTAGAATTGCAGCATGTCCTACAAACATCCTACTAACAATGATGTACATGTTCAAATCTGTAAGTCTTGTAAGTGACGTCAGCAGTGACCTATGGTGTACCTCAGGGTTCAGTCCTGGGTCCCATTCCTTTTCTTATCTACATGCTTCCATCCATTAGATAACACAAATTAGGAATATAGACTATGTTAATTCATTCCTTTTTAGTGGTGCTGAAGCTTTCCGTGTATGATTGCTTGAGTTGGCTTTTGCAGCTTTAACTATCCTAAATTTAAAATAAAATACAGTTCTTAGTCATGCCATATTTTGTGCTCTCATGTGCTTCTCTTCTGGAGAAGAAGACTCAGGTTTTACAACCCACTGAGAAAAAGACTGTAGCCTATCATGAAGCAGGGCATGCTGTAGTGGGCTGGTTTCTTCAACATGCTGACCCATTGCTCAAGGTGATATTATTTTGCAAAATATATTTTAAATCCATTTTACGTAACTTAAGTAACCAAATGAAATAAATAACACATATTTTAGCTTCAAATGAGGAAAAATGTCTTTGTCGTTGTCTTTGATTTAAAAAAAAAAAAATTAACAATGAACAAGGGGCAAAACTGACTATGTATAAACTATGAGCATCATGTTACACCACCAGGATTTGCATTGTAGCTTGTATAGTTCAGTTTAAATCGAGTCATTCATCTGTGAATTGTTTTATTAAAATTTATTGGATTCATTCACTCATTCCCTAATTTTATGTTCCAGGTTTCCATAATTCCAAGAGGGAAAGGCTTGGGCTATGCACAGTATCTTCCAAAAGAGCAGTATTTATATACACGGGAACAGCTATTCGACAGGATGTGCATGATGCTTGGTGGGCGTGTGGCAGAGCGGGTGTTTTTTGGCAGGATCACGACTGGGGCTCATGACGACCTTAAGAAGGTCACACAGTCAGCATATGCTCAGGTAGAGAGATTGTGCTTGCTTTGTATCATACATTCAGTGGTTCAGTGTGCTACAGCATTTGCTATAACGACATGGCAACATTATACACTTTTTTTCATTTATAAGAAGCTTTTATCCAAATGTACAATACTTACAGGAACAATCCATTTTGGAGTAGAGCTGAAACTAATAATTATTTTGTTAATCTGCTAACAATCTCTTAAAGGGATTCTTCGACTGTTCTGGCAGTTAATGCAGTGATTAATCAACATAGTGGTGATAGCCCATTGATTGCTTCTTGAGGCTTTCAACCTATAACTAAGATTACAAGCCAGATCTTTGGCATATATTAACTTTATTTGACAGTTTTCTTCCCCTACTTTTCTGTTGTAGATTGTTCAGTTCGGCATGAGCGAGAAAGTGGGGCAGGTGTCATTTGATCTGCCCCGGCAGGGTGAGATGGTTCTGGAGAAGCCCTACAGCGAGGCTACGGCAGAACTCATTGATGCGGAGGTCAGAGATCTGGTCGACCGGGCCTTCAAGAGAACACTGGAACTCATCACTGAGAAACACGAGCAGGTGGAAATGGTGAGAACAACCAACAGCTTGATATTACTTTATCCTGGAAAACAGTGGTGCCTCATGCTTTGCTTGGATTTATAGCTTTAAATAGAGTGGAATCTAGCTGCCATTACAACAGCCCTCAAAGTCATGCCAGAGATGCCAGAACTAGTAACCTGCGGAGTGCCTCAGGGTTCAGTCCTTGGTCACATTTTTCTTTAAATAAGGCAAAGTAGTTGTATAATCTTCAACAGTTTTGTTGAGGTCACTCAGCTTTACCTCAAATCAAAGTTTTAAGTTCATACTTTGAGATTTATATCTCTGATTTGAATGAAGCTAAGCTTTCTAAAGGGCTTTTCACACTGCACTTAACCCTGGGTTATCGTCATTCTAAACCCTGGATAAAGGAACATTTCATGCTTGTAATTTAGAAGTGGCACCGCTTTTTACCCGGGGTTAGGGCTGGCAATGCTTTTGCGGTGTTAACCCTGCACTGCAGTGGCAAAATTGTACTGTGTGAAACTAGATGCTTAGCAACAGACATCCAGTTGCGTTCCTCATATTCACATGCTTTGCAAAGTGACAGGAACACAGCATGTAAACAGTCTATTCAGGGGCTTGAGGGGAAAATTGTCAAATGGTGATGGAAAACGCATCAGTTTCATTGGAGAGTTTAATTTTTATGTTTTATAAGTCCATTCAGGGAAAAAAACTTGAATGTACAGTGTGAAACTTCAGCTTATCAATACATAGGATGAATTGTAAACCCTGGGAAAATTATGAGCAGTGTAAAACATGAAGAAAAATAACCCAGGATTTTGTTTTTCCAGGATTTGGAATGACCCAGTGTTAAATATTTCAAGCATGAAGAACTGCAAAGTGACCATCTCTTGTCAGGTAGCCTAGTTGATGCAAATATGCATTTGTTTTTTGTGAATAGGTTGGCAAGCGCTTGCTGGAAAAAGAAGTTCTAGACAAAGCTGATATGATAAGAGTTGCTGGGGCCCAGGCCATTTGAGGAGAAGTCCACATATGAGGAGTTTGTGGAGGGCACTGGAAGCTTTGAGGAAGATACAAGTCTTCCAGAAGGGTTGAAGGACTGGAACCAAGAGAGAGGAGAAACCCAGGAAGAACCTTCAGCTTCACAGGAAAAACAGGCTGCTTGAAATAAAGACAGCCCTCGAAATAATTTCCACCTGCCTCTGACACTTGCCTTACTGTGGAAACTCAGTGGGAAAGCAGTCTTCTTGGCTTAAAAGAGGAAGATTGTGAATTTTGTTGGTATTTGCATTTCACTTCCCTTGTTAATTTAAAGCAGGGAAATTTGACCGAATTTGAAATGCCTTCATAATCTGCGCATTATGTCAGCATAAACTATGCCTGATAAACTTTAACACCCAACACCTTGAACTCTTTATGCCAGATCAACAACTTAGAAATATCTTATTAGTTCTTTTTTTATCTTTTGATTTCTGCCGTTATATCATAAACTCAATTATATCCTTTTTATCCTCTCTTCCTCTTAATAGAAGTGTAAGAAATGTATGTGTACAACTTTCATTTGTGTCCTAAGAAAAAAAACATTTTTTGAAAGTGTGATTATTTAATTAAATTGAAGGAGCTGTTCCATACATTGTTTTTCACAAGGTCTACTTATAATTTAAGTCAAGGTTTCTGGGACACACAAAAAAACAGTCTGTCATAATGTATTCTTTCATGACCAATTTCCACCTTATATCTGACCCTTAGAATTAATTGGGTCATTTTTGCAGCTTGAAACTCGGTGCGTCCTAGTATACATATTAATGAATTCACCACTTCTCCATGATTATATTTATAGTTTCTAATCTGTAGAAAGGGCAAACACCTCTTCTAGAACTTGCAATTTTGATATATTGTATCACTAGGCACCATACACTGACATCAGCAGTAATAGGGCTTAGCTAGATGATTTATCATACTTCCTCTTCCAAGCATTCTGTTCATCAGGGATGCTCCCATTTTAGATGGGTGAGAGTTAGCCAAGAAGCATCCAGAATCAGTGCTATCTCAAAATATAATGACAATGCATTAAGCTACAAATCTTAAAAATACATTGAGCTACAACTCTATTATTTATGGTTGTTAAATTATGAAAGAGTATAAAAGCCCAGTTTATGTTTGTGGATATTCTTTACAAAAAGCATCTCCTCAGACAAAAGCACTGTTTGTTGGACTGTTCTTTATCCGAAAAGCGAACCTCTTGAGTTGCATATCACGTGTATCATGCTTTGGTGTCTGCATGACCAGTGCTGTCCATATAATCTATTCAATTAAATTGTACCATGCTGTCTCCATTTAGAGCTAATTGAGAGGGTGTTGTGTCACAAGACCTGCGTTCTACAGTAATAAATACAGTAAAATGGTTTGGAGAAAGAAAAAGAGGAAAAACAATCTGATCTTTGTCATTTCACATTTATTCCTGTTAGATATCTGTCCTCCTTGATTTAGCAGACTTGTTAATGATTCTGGTAGTTTATAAATTTCTTCTCCAATGTGACCCTGTGTATAGATCATGCTTGACATCATTGAACCCTGTAATAACCCTGGTGGCAAATACAGTACAACTTTGATAGGAGTCCAGAAATGTATACAAAAGAATTTTACTTTTGCATCTGGAATCCCCACCGAGTAGCTTTTTTTTTTCACTTTTAGGATTATATGTGGATTAGGCATATTTTCATGCAGAATCTCCTTGAAGGACACTTTTGTTGGGAATTCTTGTAACTTCTCTGCATTGCCATGTCTTGAACTATGCTGTAGGTTCTCTGTGTCTTATCACAGTTGCAACTTCGATACATAGCACTGTTCTTTAAACAGTTCCTTGAAGATTCAAATCACTGTGGAATTCCTCAGTTACTCCTTAGATTCACTTTGCTTGAGCCAGTGTTGTCCGTAATGCTACATCATGCTTCAAGTTCTCCATATGCAGTAGTCACATGGAGAAGACTGAAAGTAACTCTGTCCCAAAGAGGCGTCTCAAAATCCTAGTTGGATGAAGTCTGTTCCATCTTGAGGAAGAGTCTACACTTACCCCAGCTTTTTGGAGCTCTCTTCTTGTCCATAATGGACAAAGGGATTGCATTATCTTTAGGTGAGACCCCCATGTCCTTTGATCCCAAGGGTTCCTCATCTTCTTGCTTGAGAAAGAACCTCCACTTTCCGCACAAGGGCTTTGTTTTCTTCCTAAGCCCCTGTAGCTGTCCCTGGCTCAAGGCTGCTGGGATTGAGAGCGCTCTATCTTCAACATTGGCTCTGTGTTTTCGGAGTCACTGTGGTGCTTTCGATCTCTCGGCTGCTGTTCCCCTTTTCCACCGCGGGTCCAGGAGGGCGAGCGGACGTAACCGCTGTGTGGAAATCTAGGTAATGGTGGCTGCTGGCGATCTGCGGGGTGAACTTACAAAACCAACTAATGAAAAACACCTTCATAACCACTGGCCATAGTTCTGTTCCAAAACCTAGTCAGCTGTCTACCATGATGGCATTTTAAGGCACCATAGGTCAACTCATGAATGGTGTTCCAACAGGTGGGCAGCAAAATTTAGAAGTTGTCTTCTAACCCACCTTTCTTTTGGCTCAATTCTAAAGTACTTTTCACATTCACAAAACTATTTTAAATGCAACTCTTAACAAAAGTATCTTTTACTTCCGTATGAAAAGGATTAGTATAGGACAGGGGTCTCCAACCCTGCTCCTGGAGGGCTATCGTCCTGCAAATTTCAGCTCCAAGCCCAACCAAACACACCTGAACTAGCTAATAAAGGTGTTCAGGGTTGCTTGATAATTACAGGCAGGTGTGTTGGAGCAGGCTTGGAACTGAAGTCTGCAGGATGGTAGCTCTCCAGGAGCATGGTTGGACATCCCCTAAATTAGTAGGTAGCATCATGAAAGGGTGGTTTTAGGCAGGGGTGCCCAGCCTGCTCCTGGATGGCCACCATCCTGCAGAGTTTATTTCCAAGCCCTATTACACAAACCTGAACCAGCTAATCACATAATTTTCAGGATCACTAGAAACTTTCAGCCAGGTATGTTTGTGGCAGGTTGGAGCTGAACTTTGTAGGATATTGATCCCTGGGAACCAGGGGGGTTTGAACAGAGTGGTCAACGGGGTGGCCACACTTCATTTTATTGTGGCCACGGCCTCCCCTGGTTACACCCTAGGGTGTTACACCCACCCCTGGGTCTTCAGTCCCTGAGCTGCTGCCAATTATGAGCTATTTAAACCAGTCACTTAAGAGGTTCCATGACAGATGCTGCTTTAGAGAGTTGCTACAGATGTAGGCAGTAGACAGCAAAGCAGCTCACTAGATTTTGGAACAGAGCTCATATGAGTCATGTCTGACTCCTCAACATGCTGTCTTTAGGGATGTTCACACCGACAGGGATTTGTAGTAAAAAAAAAGCATCCGGATGTCATTCATTTTCAATGAGACTCAGCAATCTGAGGCCACATGAGCGATAGACATTTTTGGTGTTTAGTTAAAGTTTAGTTTCATGCATAGCTATACAGTGAGGTGAGTAATAATATATAAGGATACAGCAGTTAAGTAGGAATGCCTACTAACAAGCAAAAGTAAAAATGCCTCTCAGTCTTTTAAGCACTGACAAATTTGGGGTCTAGACAAATGTTATTCACATAACTTAGAGACCAGGGAGCATAACATTTAAGCAGTAGGTTTGAGGAAATGCTAATCTGGATTGCTCTGAATGCCACTGACATTGCCTCATAGTTTAAATATTTAATATGTACACATTTGTGCACTTCAGCTCAGAACTTAATCAAATGATAATGTGCTCACTGTAGATTTCCATGGAATCACTGAACTGTGCCAGCAGCCAAGTATCCAACATACTCTACTACTCTAAATGTTATCCATCCGTTTTATTTGTCTTGCTTCATAGTGAACATTCAGTCATAGACAACAGAGTGCTGCAGGAATGAGACCTAAAATACAGAAATGAGCATATTTGCACATCCAGTTTGAATGGGTTTTCGGCTAAATGCCTGAAATAAGGTACTGTATACGGTTAACACAAGCTTAATATCTTGAAGATATTAAATAAAGACTGAAAGTTGTCGGAAATTATGCACGGCATTTAGGTAATGCAGCCATACTGTAGTTTGTTTATAGCCTAACCTGGCCACAGGGCTTATTTTCTCTTGGGTTCTTGTCGAGGGAACCGGGGGATGCTAACTTCTAGGTTGACCTATAAAAATATGTCATCATCCCTGCAGCACTATTTCTCCCAGTTTAATTTTTAAATGAGATTCTGAAGAATATGTTTGAGGACTGGATTGATTTCACTTTAAAGCTCCTGGTATGGAAAAAAACTGTAGAAGTCTGAGAGCTGACTCACTTGCTGGGGATTCTGTATGATTCTCCTCATCTGAATCAGCAAACACCTCCCCCAGCTCCTGGTCAGACATGTCTGTGAGCTCCGTCAGGTCCAGGAGGTCAAAGTGTACCTCCAGAGAGGACACACTGCTGAGAGGCTCTGAGATCAGGCAGAAGATTGCAGAATATAACTACATTACTTTGACCAGATGACCTGTTAAGAGCAGTTCAATGATATTTTTTAATTGACTTCATTGTTCTTTGCTCAGACATGTTGTGTACTAAGGGGTGTGCTTACTGTGCTATTAAGTATTAAGTGACTTTCTGAGAAATAATTGCGGGATATAAACTCACAAATGTTAGTTATAAAGTCAGAATTACAGGATATAAAGTTGCAATTCCATGTTATAAAGTCAGAATTGCAAGAAAAAAGTCAGAATTGACCCTTCGCAGCGAGCTTGACTGACAGGCGATCTGACCAATTATAACGCAGAATTCGCCATCTTGTCCGACAAACGAATCAGACAGGAGAGTACATTTTCGGTGGACTTAAACTTGAAAAGTGTTGTGTATTGACATCTTTCCACGGTTGAAATAAAATACGTTCTGATGTTCATTCATGTTTATTTCATGCTTTAATTAAATAGAGAAAAGACCGTCAGTTCACGTGTGCCGCTTGAACTGAGCCAATAATGTGTCATGACACATTAAAGAGCCACAAAATGTTATTTATTGTTTGAATCTCTTTAAAAAATTAGAAAATTGGAAAGCTGAGACCTTGTTTCATGCCAGAAGTAACCTGCTCTGTTTTGTCTGTCGGCGTTAATTAAGCTTTCATAATTATGTGAATCTAAAGTAAATGTTTACCTTATATTTCTCCCCAAAATCAAAAGATTTTTTTTTTATTAATTAATCTAGATCACTGTTAATGTTAAGGACAATTTATTAATTGCAGTGAAAATGGAAAATAAATAAATAAATAAAATCTTTGTTGCACAAAATGTCACTTCTGCTTTTGAGTTGTTTTGACTGGGATGAAATATGACCTGCGTGTGCTCTTGACAGGTTTCACTCACGTCGTTTCTCGGTGATCAGCACCTGGCTGCCATGGTGTGACGGAGTACCGACATGCTCTCCTGAGGCATTGTGGGAGGGCTCGCTGATGAGACTGGCAGAGCTGGAGGACTTCAGAAGCTTCTGGAACTCTCGATCTCTAAGTGGCCCTACAACAACAACAACAAAAATAAATAAATAATAAAGAGACTAAACTCTGCAGGAAAGTCGACCTCGAGGGCCAGAGTTGAGAACCATTTTACAGTTTACTGCACTTTCTTATTCTTGTTATTTCCCTACAGCGGCTAATGAACCGGAGGTCTCGCACATTGACAGAAAACGGCTTACTTACGTGTTGAAAAATAAGGTGGACGTGGTTGCTAGGGTGTTCTGGGTGGTAGCCAGGGAATTTATGTAGCTCATAAAGTGGTTGTTAGTGCATTGCTGCAGTAGACATTTGTTAGGGTGTTCTAGATGGTTTTAGCACATTGCTATGTGGCTGTTAGCATGTTGTTATGGTGTTGCTAAGGTGTTCTGGGTGGTATCCAGAAAATTGCTGTGCTTAGGTGTTCTAAGTGGTTTTAAATGCATTTTTAGATTATAAAGTTGCTAGGGAGTTCTGGATGGCTGTTAGCGCATTGCTGCAGTAGACATTTGTTAGGGTGTTCTAGATGGTTGTTAGCACATTGCTATGTGGCTGTTAGCATGTTGTTATGGTGTTGCTAAGGTGTTCTGGGTGGTATCCAGAAAATTGCTGTGCTACGGTGTTCTAAATGGTTTTAAATGCATTTTTAGATTATAAAGTTGCTAGGGAGTTCTGGATGGCTGTTAGCGCATTGCTAAGTGTTTGCTAGGGTGTTCTGCATGGCTGTTAGCACATTGCTAAGTGTTTTCTAGGGTGTTCTGTATGGCTGTTAGCACATTGCTAGGTGTTTGCTAGGGTGTTCTGGATGGCTGTTAGCACATTGCTAGGTGTTTGCTAGGGTGTTCTGGAGGGCTGTTAGCACATTGCTAAGTGGTTGCTAGGGGGTCCTGGGTGGC